ATTACTCGTGCCGCATTCTCAGCATTATGAATTCTTCAAAACTAGTTTAATTTTGTCCAGAACTTGACCAAACTAGCAATTTTCAAACTCCCAAAACTCGACAAACAATAATCGAAAATAAACTGTTTTTTTTTTCGTACATTTGAGGACAAGAAGCTGGTATCTTCAATGAGCCACAAAACTTTTTGGTTAAAAAATATTTTTTCGATCGCCGAAACTTCGCAAATTAAAAAAACACAAGCATAAATTTTCCGTTTTCTTCAACAATCGGAGCAAAAAGCGGTTTCAATTATCATCTGAAGAATCGCTTAATACTTGTATTGCAGAAATAAACTTAATTCTTACTCCTTATGTAACCCTTAAATGTGTTCCTTGAATCAATTTTTTCATCTATTTCTCATAATCCTATTGAATGTTTTTTTTTGCGTGATTTCAGTTTCTGTTTATGCTTAAACATTATATTTCTTTAAGCGAAACAGATTCATTTCGATTGCACAGGATAGATCTACAAGACATTTTGTCTACTAATTACACTAAAAAACATGTTGTCCACACAGAGGCTAAACAGAGCTTTGCACCACATGCAATAAGAAAAGTAAGACAATCAAAACATGCAGATGAAGCGACAAACTGTAAAAAAAGATCAAAAAATTGTTTTTTTTTCTCAAAAAGCAAAGAAAATAGGGAAACAAAACCAAGAATCAGGAAGTAAATTGCCTGCTTCTTTCAAATTTCACGAATACAAGCAAAGCGAAGCTACGTTTTACCTGCAAAACAACACATACATAGCGTGACAAACTAATCGACAGAAATGCAGATAAAGGCGGTAGAAAAAATCAAAAGCTTAACGAAATCAAAACAACTCATCAACCAAAACTTTTTTCTTCATAATTGTCGTTACTTGTTCTTGAATTACAATAACTTCAAGAAAACATGCAAAGAAAAAAAATTGAATGAAAATTGCGCATCGGACTTACAAAAAGGTTAATTCTTGAGCTGACACATTACTTAATATTTTCAGCCGTAACATATTGAGCCGAAAAAAAACGCAAATGACCCAAACTTAGGTCACTACAATAATAAAAAATAGCCCAAATAATTTTATCAAAAAAATATCTAAGCGAATCAAAAAAAAATTACGAATTGCTCGAGTAAAACAAATTCTAAAAGCAACAATTCGATATGCACAACAAAGCACTAAAAGCAACAACTCAAATTCAAAAATGCGCGCAGCAAAAAACATTAGCCGACATTTTTATTTGAAACTGAAAATTTTCAATTTGAAAAAAGGTAGATGTGATCCCAGAAAATGCTGCTTTGATCCCCGAGACATATTTGCTATCTCAAGGCAAAGAAGGAAGGGAACACTAAGAGTTTGATTTTTTATGAAACAAGGTACCACTAGAAATGAGTTCAGAAATCCACTAGAGATGAGTCCTGTAATAAACGTTTTTTTTAGGGGGGGGGGAGCGGGGAAAGTCTAGTTATCGATTACAAAACCCTTGCTTATAGCAAGGATAAAAAGGCACAACTAGTTTCCAGTATCTAAAAATGAATTGAACGTTTTTGAAAGAAAGCACAATTTAAATAAGCGAAAAAGCGATAGCCTGATATAAGCAAAAAGCAATAGTAAAAAACAGCAATAGCAATAACAATACATCAGCCGCCAAATTTTTTTTCATTACAAACAAAATAGTACTGTTAAAACAATGACACACATTTGATGAAAAATTGTCATTTGTACTCGCTTATATAATCGCCAAAAATTACTATTGAATACTCAAAAAAAGAACGATTTTTATATCTCCACATTCTTTCTCAGTAAAAATCTTGTCGGAACAAAAGCCAATTAACGACTAGCACCTTACTTCACAAAACGAGATTTAGAAGGCACAGACAAAAAGACTATTGTACCCTTTAAAAACAACGCTAGGAAACCTCGAGAAAAGATTTTATACAGTAGTAAAAGAGAAAGAAATTGCATTGGACAACAAAGATACTTTACTGGTCTACTCGCATTTCATGAATGGTAACCTTATTCTTGCCCGAGGAAGTGTCTGAGACAGAACGGTTCAAAAAGACATAATGAACGCAATTAAACAATAAAAATGAATTGTTTTTCGAAAAAATCTCAACTTTCGAATTTCAAAAAAATAGATGCCCTTAAGCTCTTTAATTTTCTAGAGCAATTTATGATGGACACTTTTTCGATAAAACTATCCCATTTTGAGAAAACTGGATCAATAGGTAAAATCTTTCTTTCACTGCGAAATCTGAAATTGAAAGTCCATGTTCGAAACTAGAAAACGATCACGTTTTTTTGTGACCCACAAGTTTTTGCGGCTCGTAGTGTAGTTTGCCTTCATTTTTACAAAGAAAATGAATTGAATTTAAAAAACAAACAAAATTCAACCCACGGAAAGTAAATTTGAGCCTAAACAAATTTAAAGAACTTTCCTTAGAAGGAAAAAAAACATCGCAGCATATATAAGAGTCTGAACTACGTTCATCGACCCTTAAAAAGTGCTCAAAAACAGTATACGATACGATCTAAGCGAAGCAAGTTTCTATTGAGTAATCGGCACCGGCGAGGGAGTACACCGAGTCAAACAAATTTCAAGACAGCTTACTCGGCGGAAAAAAATATGAAAAAAAGATTTTTTGTCTAGTTCTTTCAAATATCCGTTTTTTTCAAAGGAATTTCAAAAACATTTCGTTTATATTTTCATGAAAAGATGTAAAAAGATATTCAAAGTCATTTTTAACACAGAGGCCAAGCTTCGCTTCGCAAACAAAAGCGAGGGAAATGCAAAAAAAAAGCTTCAAGCAGGCAAAAAAAAGTGAAATAAGGAAACGATTTAAAATAAACTGTGAAAAAAACTTGTCGAGAAAAAGAGTATCACGTTCTCAGATCTGCTCCAGGAAAATTTCTAATTTTACTCTCACTAGTCATCAATAAAGCAGCTTCTCTCAAAATGTCAATGTTTTGCAGCAAAAATTTGACCAAAAAAAATATAACTGTTCCGGAATTGAATATTGGACATGTTGATTAGTAGTCTCGCGTCCCCGCATCCATACTTGTCAACGGGCCTGGCCGGGCAGAGATTTTCACTTTTGTCAACGGGCCCCAACGGGCCTTACTTTTATTGACTAACCAATGTTATGTTTCAGTGCGCACTGTACAGCTTGCAGTGTGCTAAACGACATGACTACTACGTTCACTACCAAAAGGTCTTTATAAAAAGTAAAACAATTAATTAAAATTGTTTTGAAACAAATTTGTTTTTTTTTTACCAAAAAAGCAGCAACGGGCCGATATTTAATAAAGTCCCGTTTATCGGGCCTCCAACGGGCTCGACTTGAATTATATCGGGCCGGGCCTCAATTATGGCGGCCCGTTAACAAGTCTGCCCGCATCTGCGCCACAGACGCTTTGAAGCAAACTAGTGGCCCAGCTAAAAGTGGATCTACCTGTTTTAATATTTTAAATCATCTTTAGTACTGATACGGAAATGCGTAGTTATCAAAAAAGTGGATTTTATGCTGATCCCAAATAATTCTCTGTCTAAGTATGGGTTTGATTTCTTATTTAAAAACAAACTACTACTTACTCTTTCAATTGAAGTCTTTATCCCAGATTTGACTGTGTAGTTTTCGAAAAAAAAAAATCAAAAATCTATCTGTAACTCGACCCTTCCTAAATACATAAAAATTTCTCTGGTAAAGCATGGAAAAACCTGTGCTTTCCAAACCCTGATTTTTAGATTGAAGATATGCGCTTCTTTATTTTTTATATTGAATCCTTCAACTCAGATTCAATTAGTAGTTTTCTAAAATAATGACAAAATTTCTAAAAACAACCAGGGTAAAATTTGAAGAAGGAAATTTTCAGAAGTCCATTTCAGCTTTCCTACAATAAACGGGGTAAAACAGATTACGCAGGAAAATCTATATACAACGTTAGTTTTTGATTAACTGTCAACCTCAAAATCAGCAGGTTAGTTTTTGAAAAAAGAATAACTTAAAAAACACGGGCGAAGTTTCAACAATTGGAAATTTTCTAAGGCCACATCTTTTTTCAAAACGCATAGCTATTTGCGATTTCGGTTAAAACCTTTATCTCCGATTTGGCAGGGTTGTTTTTGAGAAAAGTCAAAAAGTTTTAAAAATTAAACAAAATATCAAAAATGTGCTTGTTTGCGGCCATAATTTTTTTTACCGAATTTAGGAAATAACCGCCTGAGAGGGGGAGATAATCTATGCGATAATTTGTTTTATGCTTCAAACCTTCATCTCAGACTTGTGATTTTAATATTTGCCAAAATGAAAAAACTCAAAACAAATAGGCCAAAAATCCCATAAAAACTTTCGAGGGCCGTAGAACGCGAAGTAAAGTCAAAAGAGACTAGCGAATTATGCAGGCACATAAAAGAGCTGCCGGGTTTTCCATAAGTAGCATTTTTTTGAAAATCAATTCAGTAGTCTCGAAAGCCTCGAAAAAAAAAACGAAAAACATCATATCACATTAAATTGTTTATGCTTAAATAAGCCTTAAAATGATTGAATTGAAATATACCAAAAGTGTCACCAAATGAGCACTTTTATTTGCGACTTAGATAAGAAAAAATCTTCGTAATAATACACTAAGCTTCGATGTGTAACCAAGCTGGAGTGTTGTTGGGTGGAGTTAGATGTAAAACTGAATTTCCGCAGAGCCAGAAATAATTAACTCCGGCAGTGGTATAGTCGAGTAAAAACCCTGGACAGCTAACCAAATTTCAAACCGTGAATCTAAGCAGTAAATTTCTAGCATTTAGATGGAAACAGACATTGGATTTAAAATAGCTAAGTATAATTATTTGAAAAAGAATACAATTTTGTACTTGAAAGTTACCAATAAAATCAATTGCTCTCAAAATTTATACTAACCTTGAGGGCCAAAGTTAAAGGGCGGTGCATAGGGATTAAAAACAAAACTTTTCCAAAAAAATTAACCCTTTTGTATTGAATTTCCTTTGTCTATAGTTTTCATAATAAAACAATCTTTTGTATTGAATTTCGCTTTTGAATATGATTTTCATAATTAAATAAAATTGGATACAATTGTGTAGCTGACATGTTTTAACATCAACAACACTATCAATATTTTTGTTTATCCATTTGGATTGCCAGTTTTCAGTTTTATCCCTTCTTCGTTTAGCACCTTCTGATAAGTCGATTTGATTTCAGTGGGAGATTCACTTCTCTTAACAAGTAGCGCAAATACATCGTTGCCTCTGTACACCCGGCCCAAATTGTCAGCCACGTATCTGTCTATATCACATAGAAGGAGACACAATTCGTAGAATCTGTCTATTTTCGGAATAGGAGCGGAGAGCGAAGAAGTGACATCTAAAATAACAATAGATTTTTTAAATAACAGACACAGAGACGAAGCAGAGATTCGCACCACTTGCGATACAAAATGGAATAACCAAAATTTTGTCATCGATTTTGCTATCATTGCTTTTATAAAAATTGCTTTTTCGCTTAACTAAACGCAACGCGGGACAACACTCTGGGAATAACTATGATCACGGACAAGAGAAACACCAATTCAAAAATGAAAACTAATCTAGAAAAATTCAAAACTGCTGATTAAATCAAGCACCTTAGAAAAAATCAGCTGCAAGCACCATTAGACTTTTTACAAAGAGTAGTGGGAATGTTTTAAAAAAATCCAAAAAAGTCAGTTCTGTTGGAAATAAGCCGACAAAAAAGCTGACAGACGATGGTCTGAAATGTTCAGTTTGCAAACAAAACAAGTCCCAAGTTGAATCGAACACAAGCCTTTTTCGTCTCAAGCAAGGTTGTTACCAATGCGCGTGAACTAAAAAAATTTGAAATCCATTTTTTTTTAATTTCAAAGAAAAAATATATCATCTTAAAGCTCACTGAGATTTGAAGATTTCCTGAAAACAAAACAAATGACTTCGTGCATTGACACTAAAATACGGCAGTTTAACCAAAAAAAAAAAAGAAAAGAACCAAACTATGAGCTGTTTTGCTCCTAACACGCAGTTGTACCCCTGAACAGAATTACATGCATAATTTTTAGGTTATTGTTCCCACTTTCGAAAAAAGTGATGGAATCTTTGTGCTCTGGGTGTTTTTTTTTCTCCACAGAAATTTGGACATTTCTACTAGCCAGTTTTTCCATCATCCTAAAGCTATGATTACCCTGAGCTCAAATTTTAAACATATTTCACCTTAAAATAATGTTAGTAAAGCTAATTTAAAAATTGCCAATTTTGGATAATTAACGGGCGAGATATTTCGTGCTATAAACGCTTAAGCGGATATTTAATCCGTCTCAGAAATCGTTTGAACTGAATTGAGAATTGTTAATTGGTCTCTGAAAAATTTCGCTAAAAGCGAATTATATTACGCTTCACTCAGCGTGCGGGGATGATTTAAAATGCCAAATATTTCAACTTTTAGAAAGGCACACTTTCTAGCAGACTTGTTTTTTTCTCGAGAAAGCAAATCCGTAAACTTAACTGTTGAAACCCCTTTTTCACATTCTCGAAAAAAGTATATTGAACACCGATTTCTCAAAATTCAATTTAGGAAACCGAATTCTCAAAAAATAATTTAGCTTAATTTTATTTCAAATTTGATAAACTTTTTAAACTTAAGAGACTTTTTGCTAAAACATTCATGATAACCCTACCTCTGTTTGAGAAAACTCCGTTAAAATACAAATTCTTAAAAAGAGGTAGAAATTAAAGAAAATTATTCGAAAGTCGGAAAATATTGAATATGTCGCTTTTGGGAAACTTTTGAGTAACGCGAAAATAGGGAAACCATTTTGCAAAATGAGCTTCAGAAAACCAAATCAAAAGCATCAAACTACAAAACATTAGCGTGATCAATTTCTGCAAAAAAAACGAGACTAGCTCCAACCTTCAAAGCAAAAACTTACTCTAATTATTAACTTTCAACAAAACATAAATCATCTTTACATGTAAACTCTTTGCCGTGAACTACAGGCTCCATTGGATAAGCCAATTTGCATTTTGGAAGCTTCAAAGCGGCAGGTATGTTGCTAATTCCTAAGGTTAACACATAGCTGCAACAATTAACTTATTACTTCAGGGGAAAAAACTGATATTGTAATTGTTCCGACTATTGAAAAATGGGGAACATTGTATTTGGGCGTGTTTTAGTTTTCCACCTAAAATCAGGTACCACCTATAATCAACGAACTCGGTAGAGTTATATATCATATTAAGCCGTTTTAGTCGTGATTTGAACAAACAAGCCGTGAAAATTTTATTCAAGCCCCTGAAAAAACTTAGTTTTAGTTCAGAAAAAACTGGTTTTCGAAAATTTTTAACGCCACTTAGGAAAAAAACTTTAAAAATTCTGAAACTTCTCTTAACTTTTTTTGTTTTCTTTTTTATTGTTCTAGTATTTTTCGACAAGAACAGATGATTAAATTGCCTATTTTACTACGACTATCAAAAATGCCTCAGTTCTAGGCTTTTGTTCAGATCCTTCATAACACCACATACAAAAAACCACACCTTATTCATTAAAAAGACCTTTTTTTCTCAAACTACCTATTTAATTCATTTTTGGAAGGTTTTAATTCAAACCTAAAAATATAGCCAACTGACAGTTAGAAAAGAGTCAATGAACGCAAGTTAACAGAACAAATATGGACTCAGTTTCAGAAAAAATATCAACTTTCGTATTTCAAAGAGAAAACAGATGGCCAAAGCTCTTTGAATTACTAGAACAATAAATGATTATTACTTTCTCGAAGAAACCAACTTAATTTGAGAAAACTGGATCAATAGGGAAAAATTTTCATTTCCCTGGGAAAATCGATAATTAAATTCTCTTTTCGAGACTAGAAGTCGATCACATTTTTCGTGATCGACTTTTAGTCTCGAAAAGAGAATTTAATTATCGATTTTACTCTCGTTGTGAAATAGTGGGGTTGCTTTCTTTCAAACAAAGGACATGAACTGAATTTAAAACGAAATCAAAAGTCAAACTAGAAAAAAGTAAAATTGAACCTGAACAAAAAACGAAAAAAAGTGAACTATATTAAAGTCTGAACTACATTTATCGACTCTTAAAAAAATATACCTATCGTTTTTAAATACACACATCCTTGAGAAGATACTTTAATTAATTACAAAATACATATGAACTTAACTGCTTTGAAAAAGGGCTAAAAGAAAGTTGCTGGCAAAGAAATTTATAGTAAACAATTGAACTCGGCTGAAACTGCACATCGCTAACTTGTTTAACAAAAAGGGAAAAAGAAAACGGATAAAAGAAGAAGCGACGACAGCTAAGAATCAAACACTACCTGTAGCTTTCGAGACAAAAATTTTACCGCACACCACCAAAGCTAAAGCAACGCTGTGTTTCAACTCAGAGGCGAAGTTGCATTTCGCATACGCAAGCAAAAACATGACCGATAATGCTACTGGCAAAAACTGAATGAGTAAAACTTTGAGTCTAAAAAATTTCCTAAGTGACGCACGCCAATTATGAGTAAACATAATTGCTAAGTGACGCAAGCCAATTAGAACGCATTAGCAGTACCAGTCAATTTGAAGAAAAAAAGTTACGAACTAACATGCCTCAATTAATAGAGTGGACGCATTTTAACTATATACGAAAAGTTCATTAAAGACATCGTACCCTGTCCAGGTTCGAACCCTCTGATTTGGTTGTTGGTCTCCTTCCCTACCTCTATGCTATAAATCAATGCTAGCTTAATGCTAAGGTGCTATTTGTAAGAAAATCGTCTTTGTTAAAAACCTTAGCTTTGGCTGTACTTAATAGCTGGTTATTGATCAAAATGAACACTTTCAAAATGAACGCATTTTGTCGCAACAATATTTGCTTAGGTTGGAAAATTTGAGAGTCATACTATCACACAAACTTTGCTTGTGTAAAAACTTTGATCTTATAAGCACCAGACAACAATAACTGCGCTTTATTTGAATGCGTGTTTTTATGCTTATTGCGCAACTCGAAGTTGGCCTTGAAAAAATTTACCAAAGAAATGTGCGAATCACCTCGAAAAGCAGTGGATTTGTATTATAACAAGCATTGTAGAAGAATATACAACTTGAAAAAATTACAAATATCCAAAACTTTTAGATAATACAATCGAAAAAATATACTGCTATATTGGTGCACAATTTCGGTCATTTCTTTTCCTATTATGTATATCCGCTCTTCAAAAGGCTCACAAAACTGAAATAGCTAGGCTTTAGAAATTTTTCCATTCAGCCCCCAATCAAATATATTGGTGTTACGGATGCTCTAGGGGATGCAACACAGTTAACAGAGGCGGTAATAACTAAGTGAATAAGTTCAAGTTTTGTAATTGAACCGGCTGGTATGTGCTATGACTAGCGAGTTTTCAATTTCAACATCTAAAATTGTTTATATGGCAATGAATTTATCTGCGAGAATTAGACTATACTAATTAGAAAACAATAAACATAGCCATTCGACAGGTGGAAAAAAATGAACGCAAGGAAACAGAAAAAAAACAGATGTTTTTTAAAAAAACTTCCAATTTGCGAAATTCAAAGAAAAAATACGCCTTTAAAGCTCTTTGAGTTTCGCGAACAATTTAAGCGTGTCCCTTTTTTTGATAAAATATACCCAATATAAGAAAACTAGATCAATAGGTAAACCTTTTATTTAGCTGGGTAATTTGTAATGAATTCCATTTTCGAAATTAGAAGTCGATCACGGTTTTCGTGGCCTAAACATTTTTGCTGTTCGATAGTGGATTTTGTTTCTTTTAAAAAAATCAAATGTCAAACCGCTAAAAATCAAAAATGAAGGTGAACAAATTTTCCTAGAGTTCTTCCTAGACTGTGTAGTTCATAGACTGTGTAAGGCTCTAGCTGCACTGTCACAAGATCGCTTACGATGATTAATTTGACTCAAACAAGAAATTCAACGTTTAGTTTTTTTTCTCACTTGTGCTACTCTTTCATGCTCCTTTCGTAATTTGGCAGCACCCAGTAACCCCCATAGAATTTTATGATTTATATGAAGTATTATAAAGATTTTATGAAAAGTCTTGTAATTTTATTACGATGAGAAATATATTCATCTTCTTTTCATAATTTTCTTCATAAAAACAAAAAAGTAAATGATTTCATGTAAATGCCACTGCTTAGATTTTAATTATTTGTTTCGGCTAGCCATTGCATGTGAGCAGGGGAGGATTTAGGATTTTCTCGAGGTGGCGAACGGATTTTCAAAATGAATTCGAAAATTTTCTCGACATTTTTTTAGGTGGACCAAATTGATTTTCTTAGCTCTCCCGAAACAGTATAAATACCACATTTTGAAAAAAAATGTGCGCCGGAGGCCAATTTTTGAATAAACGGGCCAAAAGGCGTTTTTAGGAACTTTTGACAAAATTTTGACCAAATAATCGCGTTTTTTCGTCGCGCGCTCCCCCCTCAAAATTAGTATATATTGGCGCCCAAGGCGCCTTTATAAAAGTTTTAGGGCCAGTCAGCCAAAAATGGATATCTTAAAATTAGTACAAAGAGGATACCCTTTGGGTGGGAAGGGGGTCGAATCCCTGAGCTGAGGGGGGGGGGGCGTCCCCCTAAATCCGCTGGTGCATTTAAGCTACTATTATTCCATCAACTTAAGTCTAATTATAATGTAGCTAGCGTACATTTTGTTGACAAGTGTAAGTGCATAATAACTCGGCATGAAAATCAAATAATTTATTAGTAACCTTGCGACGAAATCGGACAAGAACCAGGCCTTCTTTCGAAGATAGACGTGAAAGATGGCACTCGATTATGACCTGATTGATCTTGGGACGAACTTTGTCCTTGAGATGCTGCTCGACCTCTCTTTGGATGGCCATCAATTCTCGGCGGCAGCGGCGGTGAAAACGTATTCTGTTCAACTTGACCCGAGTGATAATTTGGATTTGAGTATGTACCATGAGGCGACATGTCTAAATTCCGGCTTGCTGTCGACGAACCTTGATGTTGCTGATTACTGAATTCTGATATGAGTTGATGATGATGATGATGGTGATAGTTTGGTTCCCCGAGCTCTGGTGATCGAAAAAGCGTAGGTTCTGGTACAATTAATCCCGTTAAAATTGGACCAAACTTGGGCGGTGACGTTACATTAACGTCTCCAAATCTCCCCCCTTGAATACCGAACATTTCAGTGGATAAAACTGGCGTAGTTTTGCTTCCATCGGTCGTGTCGGCACAACCACTGTTGGAATTCAGTGAAAGTAGAGCTTTCGTTTCGCAGTAACCCTCAAGCTCCATCAGTATTGAGAGCTGACCGAGTCTTATACATTGAAGGTCGGACGAATTTTCACTAACGTGTGTCATCAAACCTAAACATTTTACAAAGAGTATTAGTTTTGAAGATAATCACTCCTTATTTACCATTACATCACGTATTATCACACGTATACCGGTATTGTACAAATCCCCACTTTCAACGTTATTTTTAGTCTGGACGACTAAAAAAATGATGACGTCCAAACACCCAGAGATCAAAGATGACCAACTCTTTTTCCTTTAACCAGGATAAGTAGTCTTTGATGGGGAGAGGTTTAAATAACGTTACAATTGGTAGAGTCGGACCGACAAGCGAAGTCATCTTGAATAACGTCCCTGTGGTTGTGGTTTGAATCTGTTCCTATGACGTAGACTGTTCTATGCAGTCTTTCGCGCCGACATTCGCTACAACCTAGAAATTCAAGCTTACATACACAGTTAAATGGGTCATTAACAGTCAAAACAGCTGATTTAGTTTGCGGCCAATAGAAAGTTATACCAATATATTCCACTTTTAAATAGTCAAAAGGTAGCTGAACCGCGTGCAATAAGACAGTGAATGCTATTACGGTATTCGAATTATCCGAAAGGATTCCGCTGTATTAAATCCCAATCCGGTAATTTTGAGCATAAAAAATTGAATATAAAAAAGCAAGTTAGGAATAAAAGGAGCGTTGGCCATATCAAACAAACGTTGAATGAATAAAAGTTGATTATAAAGTAAAGTTCTACCTGCATTTTACTATAAAACATTATCTGTTTTACCCTAAAACTTCTCGCAAATATCAAAGTGTATGAATTAACATCGAAAACACAGCCACCAAACAGTTGCAAAAGTGTCAATGAACGCATGAAAACAATGACTGAATTTCGAGTCTCAGTGAAATAATATATGGCCTTAAAGCTCTTTGAGTTTCAAGAACGGAACGGTTTATGATTGACACTTTTTGGATAAAATTCATCAAATTCGAGAACACTGAATTAATAGAAACTTTTTCATTCCACTGAGAACTTTCAGTCGGGAAAAATTCACCTGGGGGAATTCCACATGCGAGAAGGGCTGAATGCCCGAAAACTCTTTCAGCCAATCAGAAATGAGCACTAAAAATCTGAGAAGATTCACCGGGAAAATCAGGCAGATTTGGACAATTTAAACGACGATTCTTGGTTGAAATTGGTTTTCGCGCATTCGATCCCTCTGTCACGACAAGAAAAGCCCCAGTCGGTTATTCTCTTTACTCACTCGAAGCTAGAAGCACTATTGTTCTGGTCATAGCCACTTCGCTCACGTCCAAACACAGTCTGTTCACTCTGCGTGACATGTGCTCTAGAGCTGTTGTCCTCTCTACGCTCTTCTGATTGGTCAGCTTCGAAAGGATGGACTGGAAGTGAAGTCCGTTCACTGTTAGGTCATTAGCAGCCAATGTTTCATCACTGTCTCTTCTTTTGTTGAAGTTGTCTAATAATAAAATATTTTATCGAGACCTCTGTCGTAGAGTAATTAAGAAGCTTTTTAAATCTGGAGAGATCGGCTGGTATTACTGAAGACACCACTCGATAGGTGACTAGCCTTTTTGATGTTCTTTCAAGATAGGATTTTCCAAAAATGTTATGAGTTCTGGAAATAATAATCGAGTTTGTTCTGTTCCCTTCTTGAAAACGAATTTATTATTATTATGATTAGTACTTTAAAAGCTTGAAGCCGCTCAGTAAGTTTTCAATCATTGATTTTGCCGTCCATCAAAGTGAGGAACTTTTAGAGTGAGGAGTTAAGAAATTTGCGAATTTTTTGATAAGCTCAGCCATGTAAAATTTTCCTGGACTGTCCAAAATCGAAAATCCTGGAGCACTCACGTCTACAAATTTTGTATCGCGCAGACAATTATTTTTAAAAAATCATGTTTTTAGCAGATGTGCGAACGTTTATACTAAAATAACTTTTTAACCATGCACCTCTTCAAATTTTGTACATTTTTATATCAAGCGCGCCTTTATTAAGAAAACCGTTTTCGAGTTGAATTGATCATTTTTGTGATTTTTAAAGATCAATTTGATTTTTGATCAAAAAATGTTTGATGAATTTTATTTTTTGCTAAGTCGAGTAAATTGCTTAGAGAAGTGTTTTTATTCTTAACAATATAATTTCAAAAGAAAATAAAAATACGTTTCTAAAGATGAATAAATGTCTGTTATACCCATTTGAGCACGTGTTGTCGACGGGTGCGAGTCTGGAATACAACTGCCAGCACTACTTTCACTACAAAGGGGGGAAGATAGCAAGCCCGATGTAGAGAAACACGGTCCAATCAGAGGCGGAGGAGGACTATTAACAAAACTGCCTCCCTTACTGTTCGGATTGCAGTGCGTGTTGTAAGAGTTCCTGAAGGTAATTTCTATTAATCCCCCTCCAACGCTCAACTGAGGTTATAAAAAGAGAAAATTTGTCCACAAAGTTTAACTTTTGCTGCCCCGTACTATATTCTAATTTTATTTCTCGACCTTGTTTTTCAGATAGGTTAGGAAAAACAGACAAATTTCATCACAAATTACTTTCGGCTGGTTTATATACTTTGCTCAATTTCACTTCGTTTATACTTCTATACCTCGATTGAATGTTTGAAACAGCTGTTGAAACATAAAGGGAAAAAAGGTTGTTGTGCCAGTGAGCGTATATCAAAATAAAAATTTCCACTAGACAGCTTAGTGTTAATTTACTATTTCTCTGAGATTCTTTTGTGATATCATAGCAGTGGATAGATTTTTAAGTAGATCCCAGCCTGTCGGTTAGCCTCTTTGGTGCGAAAACTGCATATATGTACGTTTATGCACTGAAGAAATTTATTATTATTATTATTATGATGATGATGATGATGATGATGATGATGATGATGATGATGATTATAACTATTATTATTAGTATTATTATGATTATTATTATGATGATTATTAATATTATGATTCTTATCTGTTTTTTTGTACAACGAGGGGAGGAGGACAAATAGAAATTATCCATTCCTGATGACGTTATGACTATTTGTTTCTTCTTTTGTTTTCGTTGTTGTTGTTGTTGTGGAAGTAGATGAAGGCGAGATGTAGGCGTGAACAAGAAGGAAGTCGAAAAGAGACAATGAAACCCAGTTGTGAAGCAGGCAGGTCAGATGCACTGATTGCTAGAATAAAAACAACGCCATTCAACCCACTGCAAAAACTGCAACCAATTCAATTAAACAAGGAAATCCCTTTTAATTAGAAAGATCAGATGCCCGAAAACTTAATTAGCCAATCACATTTCAGTTTGTAAACATTCGTACTGAGTGTGAAAATCAGTCAGTTTTGGAAAATTTAAATGAGGCTGATTGGCTTAAAATTTGGCGCATTCTGTCAGGAGACAAACCTTCGATTTACCAGATAGCTTTCCAAACAATCATCGATCTTTAAACTAAAAAACCAACCAGTTTCCACGCTATTTTATTTCATATTTTTGACCAAATGAGCAATCGCCCCTAAGGAGCAATTGAGTTATCTTACTTCTCCAAGCAAAGACAATATCAAATCAATTGAGCAGGTGGTTTATTTGTAGCTAATAAGCAACCAATTAATCGACTGCGTGCCGAGAGAAAGTTTTAAATATTATATATCTATATTTTTTCAGGTTTTTGTTTGGGTGATTATTTTCTCGAAGAAAGCGAGCTAACAGGGTTGATTCACTAATTTTGTATCTAAATTCCAAAAAATGCTACCAGCGGAATCTTAATAGTAAACGTAATTGCACAATTTTGTATATTTATAACTGAAACAAAAATGACTGAATATGCGACTAATAGGTTCAATTTTTTCCATTCAAAAAAAATTCTGTTTTCTGATGTTGTGAATTTCTGGGGTTCCAGATTCGTTAGAAAACCTGACGAGTGTTTTTATCAATCTGAAATCAGTTTCAAGTAATTATAAACATGCCTAAGTATCTAATTAACAAATAAAAAATGAGACAGAAAAAAACTCTTAGTATTTATCGAGCAGTCGCTAAGGCGACAAAACATGATGTCGACGACTAAGCTGATAACAAAAACATGGCTACAAAGATGTACGAATAGAAAAAAACGTGGCCTTAAAGCTCGTTGAATTTCGAAAACAATTTATGAAAGAAACTCTCAATCGGCTGTAATATTTTCTTTCCGCAATTTCTAGAAACTGTATAAACTAAAATCCTCTTCAAAACTAGAAGCCAATCAAGTTGCTTGCAACTTTTACCATTTTACTGTTTGATTGTGGAATTTGCCTTCCTTTTAACAAAGGAAACGAATTGAGCTTTAAACAAACAAAAAAAATCATCCCGACCTACATAAGAGCCTTCAAAACGTTCATTGACTTTCAAAAACCCATAAAAATGTGACAAAAATTTGAGCAATTGAATTTTAGAACTTCGAACATTTACCGCACAAACGACCTGAATTATTTTATAAGAACAAATACAAAAGACGAAACCATTTCGAATGAAAGCAAAACGAGGAAGAGATACAAAGTCAGGAATAGTTATTTTGCAAATTATAGGAGTGAATCGGCAAAACTAAAATTAAATTTATTAACAGCTCAAGAAAAATTGTAAAGTGGAAACTAAGCCGAAAATACATAATCAGGCAAATGAAAGTCCAAAAATTCATATTCGCCGTAAAACTTATTTCAAATTCAAACATTGTGGAAAAAACAAGGTCTGGCCGGGACTCGAACCCCACAATTTATGGTGCAAAGTCACCCACGTTACCTTCAGGCCAAGCGGGAAGGAGCCTGGAAGCTCTCATCGTTTAATATTAAAACTAGTTCAAAGAAAAATCTCAACTTCGAATTTCGAAGAAAAAAGTAGATGCCCTTAAAGCTCCTTGAATTTCTGGAACGATTTAACATTGGCGCTTTTTTGATCAGAATAACGTAAATTGAGAAAACTGGATCAACGGGGTAAAAATTTTTTGCCGCTGGAAATCTTAAAATTAAATTCCACTTTCGAAAGTAGATATCATTCCCGAATTATCGCTTTGAAGTGCTATTTACGTCACGTTCGTATTTGAAGTGCTATTTACGTCACTTTCAGCAGATGAATTTCAATTCAACTCAAAAAGTGCATACATACCTAAGTGCATCAAAATTTTAAGACTTTTTCCTGAAAAAAAATCAGCAAGATCTATATGAGTCTTCACTACGTTCATTACTCTTAATAATCACAGCAAGCATGAAACTGATAATCTTTTTGGGGTCAGAACTCTTCAAAATACGGGTATTTTGAAAAGCGATTGCCTCAATTAGAGCGCAATTACTGAGCTAATTAGCACTTTTATTTTTCATATTGTACTGCATAAATTCCGTCCACGCGATAATTTCTTTATAACGATTTTAGGTTTTAAAAGCCATCACTTAAGTCCTTGCTCCTTAATTTAAATTAAAAATTGACCTTTTTCAAGTGAATATTCATTCTAACTTGTACCAATTCCAAGGATGTTGCCAAATAATGAGGTTCGCATGGGAAATTGATGTTCGTATATAAACGCCTGGGAATCATTAAATTTTTAGACTTAAGCTCTGGAGTGTTCGCTGGGGAAAATATGCAAATGTAGCATACGCCTGATTCGATCTTCCCAACCTGCTGCTAGCCATGAGTTCGTCCTTTTTTCAGGGGTCTAGACAAAATTGCATAACATACTAATTGGCTTTTATAAATAGCGATTGCTCAAAACTAGTGCGCAAACATTTCCAAGTATTTGCACAATTACAAAAAGCTGCGTAGCATTTACTATTATAATCGAACTCCAAGCAAGTTTAATTTTATACAACAGAAAACAAAGCAGTATACTTAAGGACAAAAATCTGCGACCGTGATAGAAAGCAAACTTTTGCAAAAACAGCCGAAAAAAAACAAGTACAAACAGCCGAAAGCTTTGAAAATACAATTAAAAACATTAACATTAAGGCTAAGGGGAGCTTCACGCCACTTGCAATATATCACAAAGATAGCATAGCGAGCTAGCCAACCAAAATGAGCCCCAAGTCAGAGTCATAAAATTTTCACACAAAATCACGAAAAATAATTACATCTACCAAAATTCTCTTATCACGATTTGTCTCGACTCGACTTCAATTTAAAAGAAACCTCGGCCTAAATAAAATTTACCGATTTATAAATTTAAAAAACATGGCCTCGAAGCTTTTTGAATTTGTAGAACAATTTATGATGGACACTTTTTTGTTAAAATTAACCCAGTTTGAGAAAACTGCATCAATAGGTAAAACTTTTATTCGCTGGGAAATCTGATAACTAATTTCCATTTTCGAAATTAGAAGTCGATCACGTTTTTCGCGACCTTTACAATTTTGCTAATCGATAGTGTAGCTTGCTTTTCTTTTAACAATAGAAATGCACTGAACTTAAAAATAAATCACAAATCAAACCGCGAAAAACCAAAATTGAGCGTGAACAAATTTGAAGACTTTTTCCTGAAGAAAAAACAAAAAACAAATCAGCAAGACCTATATAAGAGTTTTATTATTCTTATTATAATTATGATTATTATTATTATTATTATTATAATTATGATTATGATTATTATGATTATTATTATTATTATGATTATTATTATTATGATTATTATTATTATTATGATGATTATTAATATTATGATTATTGCGATTATTATTATTATTACGATTATTATGATTATTAATAATAATATTATTATTATTATTAAGACTTCGCGACAAAGTCGAAGGGCGTTAACCCAAAAAAAATTATAAAAACATGAGGATGAGTTTCCCCGGCAGTTTACGCAGCCGCAAGCGAAAATCCAAGTACATGGTTTGTCTATATCAAAGTTTGTGTCAAACCAGCTCCAGAAAAAAGCAACGAGTCTTTTCTTGAGGCCCACGTCGTCGAGAACATTTACGTAGGATTGAAGTTTGTTAAATAATCGCGGCGTCCTATACCAAAAGTTACCACAGCCGGTCTCGAGCTTCAGATCTGGTAGTTTGAATATCGGCTTTTCTGAATTTCTTGTCGTGTAATTTTGAATATAGGGAGTCAGGTGGTTATTTAGTGACACATTGTATTTTCTGCTCAGAAGTTTGGAGAGCATCAGGAGGTCACTGATCTGGAAATATATGGATAAAGGAAGAATATTGAGAGCATAGAGAGGCTGCTTGTAGTTCAACTCAGGATATCCTAAGATCCAGTCAGTCGCTCTATGTTGCACCTGTTCGAGACTTTTCATGTCGGCTTTTGATGGACTCCAGGACGCAACAGCCATAAGAAAGAATGGGAAGTACCATCGATTTGTACATGTTCAATCTTTGGTGCCAGTGGAGACGTCTAGCAGAATTTCTCTCTAACATTGAGAGCACTCGATTGGATTTGCCGCAGATATATGTGATATGCTCGCTCCACTTCAAGCTGGTCGAAATGATAATTCCGAAGTCTTTTTCGGACGAGACAGTTTTCAGTTTTTCGTTATACAAAATCAGAGAGCTGGGGCAGCTTTTCGTGAAGGAGAGGAGGTGACACTTATCCATGTTGAAAACCATATCGTCCAAGTCGCACCACGTTTCCAAGAGTCGTAGATCTTGTTGGAGAAGTGAAGTGCAGCTTTTATCTCGAATTGACAATAACTTGGTATCATCAGCGAATAAGAAGGGTAGAGACAACAAGCCATCGGTTATGTCGATCACGTAGATTAGAAATAAAATAGGACCAAGGATGGATCCTTGGGGAACTCCACTAGTGACTTACAGGAAACCGGATGTTGCTTCGCCTATCTGAACATATTGCTTCCGACCAGATAGATAACTCTTGATTATTTTCAGCAGACTTCCTCCTACGCCAAGATGCTGAAGCTTCTGGATAAAAATACTGTGATTGAATTTGTCAAAGGCTTTTGAGAAGTCTATATACACTGTTTCAAAAACAATGTCAGTGTTCAACACGCCTTTATAGATGTTGTCAATGAAGGTCAAAAGTTGTAATACAGGCGATTTCCGCTTCTGGAAGCCAAATTGACACGGAGGAATGCGATCGTACACAAAAGCAAATAATGAATCAAATAGCAGTTCTCGAACACTTTAGATCAGATGTTCAACAATGTAATGGGTCGATAGTTGGTTACATCTGCTTTTGATCCTTTTTTGAAAAGAGGCG